TTTTATGTCTAGAGGTGCAATAGACACTAATGTGTATGTAACTGGTTTCAGCTCACCAGAACCTTCAACCTGTCCTCATCTCATTTGAGAATTTGTTTTAGATCCTGGCATCCCAATCAGACTTCTTAACTTGCCTAAATTGCCTGGTCAACTTGGTTTGTAATTTACTAGTAACCATACGATGACCAAACGGTTCTTTTCAGCAGGGGACCTAGTATGGAGTGGCGACTATGCATTAAAACATGAACTAGCTGGTTAATATAGTCAGTTTATTGGGACAGAATGGTAGCATCCCAATAAAGATGCTTGTAAATGAAGTCAAATCATAATTGTGCTTGTATTCGGTTCCTCTTCCAATAAGCTTTATGTCTGGAGGTACAATAGACACTATTGTGTGCCTAACCCGGCTTCGGCTCAGCAGAACCTTCAACCTGTCCTCGTCTCAGGCAGTTAGAGAAAAAGACTGAAGTCTTGTAAACGTTGGAGAATGTGTTGGCCGTGGCTCTCCGGCTTGGCTGCTGTTCCTGGCAGCTCGTTTCTCCATGTGGATCGCTTGTCACTTCTCCTGCTAATCTGCATGTGTTTCCAGCGAGACGTCTAGTACTGTAACGGCGGCCCGGTATCTGATTTTCACGAATTAGTTGTTGCTGTGATTGCCAAGTAATCGAGGAAAAGGTAGTTCATTTCACCTTTATCAGGGCTCCAGACTGCGACTAAAACGGTTGCACTTGCGACCAAAAATATTAATTTGTGAGTGATATTTTTGCTGAGATCGCCACTGGCGACTATATAAATTTACATGTTATGATTTAAAAAATTGCATGTACACTACCAGTCAAAAGTTTTTGAACAGTAAGATGTTTTATGTTTTTTTCAAAGAAGTCTCTTCTGCTCACCAAGCCTGCATTTATTTGATCCAAAATACAGCAAAAGCAGTAATATTGTGAAATATTTTTACTATTTAAAATAACTGCTTTCTATTTGAATATATTTATAAATTTACTTTAAAATGAGTTCAAAGCTGAATTTTTAGCATCATTACTCCAGTCACTTCACTTTTTAACCACAAATTCTCGTCTTGCACTAGCTCTGCATCCACGACTTCACGCATTGCGTAATCACGTTGGAAACATCATGCAAAAACTTCATCTCATTTTCTCCTCCAATTTCAAAATTGTCTGCAATTGTTGTTTTACCTTTTTTGACTTTATTTGCACGTTCGCTTTGTAAACACTGGGTCGGTACATTACGTGTGACCTTTCCAACGTGATTACGTAATGCATGAGGTCAATCTAGTGCAAGATGAGCATTTGTGGTTAAAAAGTATATAACTTTTAATTTTTTTATTTCGCTAGATAAGACCCTTATTCCTCGGCTGGGATCGTGTCGAGCCCTTTGAAGCTGCATTGAAACTGCATTTTTAACCTTCAACCCGTTGATCCCCATTGAAGTCCACTATGTGGAGAAAAATCCTGCAATGTTTTCCTCAAAATCCTTAAATTATTTTCAACTAAAGAAAGACAGACATGAACATCTTGGATAACATGGGGGTGAGTAAATTATCAGGAAATTTTAATTCAGGAGTGAACTAATCATTTAACCAGCTACTTCACGCAAAAGCAACCTGCCAACTTTCCCCACAGTTCCCATAATGAAACGAAGAGTTTAGAGATCATGCGTATACCAATAAATTATGGAAGTTTGCTAGTTAAAGCTGCAGTCTGTAAGTTTTGCCTCTTTGGCCTCTTTGTCGCCATCTCTGTTTGAAACCTGCAATTTCACTTATTTTCGGAAATATCTTCTTTGTGTGGGTTGTGCACCGGCACGGCTCCTCAGCGTGGATGAATCTAATATTTTGATGTGTGGCTGTGAGTCACCTCACTGGTGTGGATACTGTACTTCGGAATCACACATGATAAGAATGATAAGAATTTTCACCAGATATTGTCATCTGAACAAGTAAGTCACATGTCTGCCCCTTTTGTTCTGACCAACTGAGGGAAAAAAAGCATTACAACACATCGCGCTACCAATGGTGATTCAATCTTAACGATCGCTTAGCTTATCAAAATAAGTTTAATTATTCCAGCTGCTGTGAGAAAAGGCCATTAATGATCCGCCACCTGCTGGATCCTCACGTGTGATATAGCCTACTAGCCGGGACAACTTCTTTATGTTTACAGGCGTGACGTAATGACGTGGCAGCATGCTCGAATTTCCCGTGAATTCCAACCAGTACCACTCAAATTAGAAAACATTATTATATGCTTACTGTTGTGAATCGGGCTAAAGTAAGGATTATGTACTGGTTATGTACTTTCTCAAAAATTTATTTTGGATCATTTTTAACCAAAAAAAAGTTACGGACTGCAGCTTTAAGCAAGTTAAGAAACCTAATTGGGACGTTGGGATCCAAAAGAAATTCTCCAACCCCAGGTGTTTACAAACTGAATGCAAGCACAATTATGATTCACTATGATTCATGACTTCACTTACAAGCATCTTTATTGGGATATAACCATTCTGTCCCAATAAATGGACTCCGTTAACCATCGAGTTAGGAGGGAGGGAGGTGTTGGTACTTATAGATGGCAAGTAATGGGATGCCCTCGTTAGCGCAGGGCTCACTGAGCCGGATGACAGACAGGCCGCTGGGGTCATGTGACAACATTACTCACTCCAGTGCCCTGCAAGACAGAAGAGGGAATCGAGGACATAGAGAGGCCGAGGGAACGAGGGGGAAACCGCAAAGAATCAAAGCAATTACGGTCTGATCCTAACGTCGCTTTTCTGCATCTCCACTAGAGCTCATGTGTTTGATGATTACCAGCGTTTATTTACATAGTGGTCCATTTACAAGCTCAAACGGGATCAAACGAGCCAACGTTTGGAGATAAATGAGAGAGAAGAGAGACAGAAAAAGACATTTTGAACAAGCCTTCGTGAGGACCTTCCCACATTAAAGAGCTCGAGACAGGCAGGTGAGCCGAGACAGAGAGCTGCATTTCTTTCAACTTCTGCCACTTCAAACGGCCCCATGAGGAGGTGACACCAGGAACTCAGCACCACAAACAAAGGTGCAGGGGCCACGAGGGGTAGAAGCCCAAGAAAAAAGACCCTTTGTGTCCCTGTTTTTGTAAAGAGTCACGCAGTAACTATTTCGCTCAGCATGATGCATAACAGCGCTTCTAAACTAACGGACCACGATCCAGTTCAGTTCTGAATTAACCAGTTATACAATATAAGAGTTTGGGAAGCAAAATAAAAACATGAAAATTAAGAAACATTTCTCATGTATTCTGTTCATGTATTCTCAAATTCATCTGTCACTTGGTAGTAGCCTGTCAAATTACACAGGTGCCAACATGCACTTGTTGACTTTGAATAAAACTAAAATAATAGAAAATATGACCCAGATGACATTAAATATGATTTCAAACAAATATAAACATGGTTTGTTCCAATTAGAATGTATTTTTATGAGATGAAAAATTGGTAGCTGAGAGTATGAAACTAGCAGAACTCAAGGCATAAATAAATCAATATTTCATCATCATTTAATAATAAAATAATAAAATCAGTTTTATAAAATCATTTATATATATACTTTTGTTTTGACACTTTTGTTTACTTATGTATGATACATAATTGTGGCTCTGTGTTGAATCACCGTCTAATGTAAAATCTAGTTCCTGAAGCCAAACCAGTTGAGAAACTTAAGATAATTCCTCCCCAAATAATATTTTCATATAAATTAATTTATGTTCTTGATGTAGGGATGTTTAGTTGAACTAACACTGCTCTAATAAACCATTACAGTCACCAGAGCTGGAGGAATAATGCTAGAGTATTAATAGATGTGAAGCGCTAGTTAAAACGGGAGGTCTGTTTCACTAATGAGTAATGAAGCTTAACACTGACATGAACTCTTTCATGCCCTTGTGGCTTTAATCAGCCGATGTGAGAACAACCAACAAACGCTGCTCGCTCTCCTTCCTCCTCAGGGCTTCACGTACTGCACGGCAATCCCACAGTTAATGAGATTGAGAAAGGTTTCTGCTTTCCCAGCCACTAGCCTGATTGCATACTGCCCACCTCTGTTAACATTTGATTCACTCAGAAAGCTTTGTTCTAGAAGTTTCCCTGTACTTAAATTGTTAAAATGAAGGAGAAACGGACCCCCTCCTTCTGCAGCGTCTTTTGTGTTGGTCTAAACCCAACACTCTCTAAAACTCCCTGACCAGTGACCCACTCACCCGCGTCGTAAAGAGGTTTGGGGGTCACGGGTTCACAACAAGGTGATCCGCGGGTGGCGTTCGGTTTCAAAGGCTTGATACTTCACCTCGGATCTCAGCTCTCAAAGATCGAGCAGCAGTGAACTAAATGCGGCTAATTAGCATAGCAATCGAGAAGTGAAAGAAAACAAGTGAAAGGCATCGCAACACTTATGGTGTGTGCACATCAAAAGCAAAATTAATTATTAGCGTGAGTAGATTACAAACAGACGTGAATTGGGCGATGCCTTTGTTGCATAAGTTGAAAAATGTGAATACGAGCAGAAAATTTGCATGACGTGTTGTCGCACTAGCCAATCAGCGAAGAGCTTATTGACATGTCCAGTTTGACACGTCCGGTTGTATCAGAAAATGTTTTTTATGTTTTTATTCGTGCGTGAAAAATATCCCGTGAGTAATCTAGAGTGAGTAACGTGTTTCAAATATTCGCTTCACTTTTGGTGTGAACACACCATTCCAGTACTACACACACTATATTGGGATTTCATGAAGAACTGGAGGGTTTTCTTTTACAGTCATGTGGGATTAAATAAATACCCCTCAATGAACCTGATTCTGTGTTTAGGCAGCTAATGTCACGGACAAGAAGGAAACCAGCTACGCAAGCTCACATTACCATCCTCATCAGCTTTGACATTTCAGTTTAACGCACGACTAACCGCCAGACAAAAACACAGGCATGAAAGCGTAGGGAAAGTGTCTTACCATTCCATAGCCACATTCGGTCCCATCAGCGAGTGGCATGTGCTGCGTACGACATCCTTTATGGTCGCCCTCCGCACTGGTGCACCAGAGACGCTTGCACTGTTTCTGCAATCGACGAAAGTCATTTCAGTCAAAACTGGGGAAATAATGACTTGAACATTGGTAAATTTAACCCTACTCAAGTACTCGAGAGTTTTCTTGATATGGGTACAATCTAAAATACAGTTAATGGGATAGTTCACCCAAAAATTTAAATCCCCCCATGATTTATTCACCCTCAAGCCAGATGTACATGACTTTCTTTCAGACGAATACAATCTGAGTTATATATAAAAAAAATGTCCAGGCTCTTCCAAGCTTTATAATGGCAGTGAATGGTTGTTGAGATTTTGAAGACCAATAAACTGAATCCATCCATCATAAAAAAAGTGCTCCAGACGGCTCCGGGGGTTATTAAATGCCTTCTGCAGAGAATCGATGATTTTGTGTAAGAATAATATCGCCTACGCCCAACATCATTCGCTGGAATGCTACTCTCTCATGAACGTGCATACGAAAGTTAGTGAAGCAAGAGATTACAGTATATAAAGTTTGACCCCCCCAAGGCCTTAACCCCTCAGAGCCGTGTGGAGCACTTTTTATGATGGATTTATGCACTTTTTTGGGCTTCAAAATCTCAACAGCCATTCACTGCAATTATAAAGCTTGGAAGAGCCAGGATATTTTTTATAAATTTAATTTAATACATAACTCGGATTGTATTCGTCTGAAAGAAGAAAGTCATATACACCTTGGATGGCTTGAGGGTGAGTAAACCATGGGGTAATTAAAATTTTTAAACAAACTATCCCTTTAAGTTGCTTGTATGGACAATGGATTAAGATGGTTAGCTAAACAAGTCTTGAGACTGCAAGAACTCAGAGACCAGAAGAAGAGATGAACAATGGGAGAACTGAACAGGGGGTTAAAGAAACAGCTCTGGTATTCCCTTGTTAAATGACTAAACGGCCTCCCAAAACGATGATGGACTAATGTACAAAGGAACCTTGTTTTAGGATCTCTTGTTAACAGGGATGAGTCGTTAAAGGGGATGCCCGTTTTAAACAAGTTGGCATGATTCTTTAGGGCCTTCATGAAATGTCTGCAATGTACTTTGGTTAAAATTCCTCAATGGTCGTGTAAAACAAAACCCTTTTACCGTTAGCCCTTTTTCATTGGTGCCATGACCTGGATGGGAGTGAGGCTTAGGGGGGTGAGCGTAACGGAGGCCACCGAGTAGGTAGTAACCCTTGTTAGTGCGTCCACCTCCCATGCCGGACAAACGGGTTCGAGACCCACTCGGAACAAGAACGAGGCGTGGCGGTGAGGACCCAGGAGAGAGGGGTTACACTAACACATATTATATGCAAATGCACCTGATGTCCCCTTTAAATGGGTCATGAACTGAGAAACCAAAATTCCCTTGATCTTTTGAAATATAAGACGTCATTGTACTATAAAAACATCCTGTAAGTTTCAGAACTCAAAACTTTGTCTTTAGTCTAAAAACAGCTTATATTGAAGGCAGTTTGCCAAAACCACAGCTTGCGGAGGCGGTGCTTATCCACACTATTACATCATAGAGTACTATGAGGTAATAGTGTGGATAAGCACCGCCTCCGCAGTAGAAGATCGACATCACTGCCTGTTTAGCCCCGCCCACTTCCTGATAAACTGGCACTAAATATCACTAAGAAAAGTAGGAGAAGCCACTGAATATAATCAATTTCATATATAATAAATTACTTGCGGCTCAGAGTGAGCATACAAAGCACAATAAATGCAGTCATTGCTTTTGGAGGTGGATGCCTGCTGTTTGGGAACGCAGTCGTGTAAGACTATTATACAGAAATACTTTGATGACAGACTTTGCTCTGGCATTTCAGAATAACCATACATCCCATGATGCAAATCACATGACTTTTTTGATGTGCTTGGAGGAATTTATTCGCCAATTGCATTTCCATCTCCCATTATTCGCATTAACCCTTTTTCGCACAAGACAAAAACCGCCTCAAGCGAGCGTAAAAACTTTTTTCCGAATTAAGGGATATTTTTTTGCATAAAGAATTTGCGAATAAGCACCGTTTCAAACGAGTCAAAGAAAACACAATTGTCACTTCCTGATAAACTGGCACTAAATATCACTAAGAAAAGTGAGAGAAGCTACTTAATATAATAATTTTCATGTATAATAAAATGACTTGCGCCTCTGAGCGAGCAGATGAAACACAATAAATGTGGTCATTGCTTTTGTAGGCGGATGCCTGATGTTTGGGAACGCAGTCATGTAAGAAATTTCTGTGGGCAGTTATACAGAAATACTTTGACGACACTTTGCTCGGCATTTCAGAATGACCATAACAATATTTCAGATGCTGTGCAACGAGATCACTGGTAAGTCTGGTTATGCCGTCCCATAGCGCAAATCACATGACTTTTTTGATGTGCTTGGAGGAATTTATTCGCCAATTGCATTTCCATCTCCCATTATTCGCATTAACCCTTTTTCGCACAAGACAAAAACCGCCTCAAGCGAGCGTAAAAACTTTTTTGCGAATTAAGGGATATTTTTTTCAAAATTTGGTGTTTCCATCACTCGTTTCTCATGCGATACTTCAAAATGCGTATTAAAAGAGGGTGACGGAAACATAGCTAATGCGTGGTGGAAGTAGATTTAGATGTCATACCATAAACGGACAGACTTGGGAGCCGGGGCCGAACATGAGTTCACACTGCCGGTTGGCATTGTAGAGTTGACCTGGAAGCTGGCTGGGAAGGTTATACATCCTCCCCAAAGGCTCGTCCAGGAGACATTCACCATAACCAGTGCTAAAAAGAAAAAAAAAAACAGATATCAACATATTCATCAAGGAGAACTCTAGCGATAGCTTCAGGTGGGTTTCTTCATCCTCAGAAGCCTGGAGGAAGTACTATTGTAAAGCATTTAGTGTTTTATGCATCAACTCGCAATGGATAATTATGAATGCAGTCTTTCTGATTTCACCTGGCGTCTGAAGGTCAAGTGTAATATGGAGGCAGCGGTGGGTGGTCTGCTTTGTTACCTGTGAGTAACTGATTGAATGGACCTCAGCCAACACAAAGGCTGCATTTCACCCTAGTAAAGACAGTGCTGTTTAACAATGCTGGGTCTCCAAGAATCAACTCAACGGTGCCAAAACCAACGTTTCAACAACGTCATGACATATACGTCCCACCACACCCTTCCTTTGAAACGCATAAAGGAGTTACAAAAGAGCAGGGCACCACATTGGAGCTCATTGAATTGTTGGGCTTAACGTCTCTGAATGGCTCTTTCAGCCAGAGAGAGAACAAAATAAACCTCCTTTCTCCATTCGCCAACTCAGCTTTCTGCAAGGGAGAACGGAAATCGGGGCTCAGAATAGCCGTGTGATGTAATTACGTGAGTTGTTGATGTTGCTGGTTCAATTTGTCCTTGGCTTTGAGACTAAACACCTGCGTCAGCTGATTTAGTCCTCTCATTACCTCGCTCACCCTTCACTCCCACTCCACACACCCTACAAGACACCTTTGTCTTTACGAGGAGGAAAACGGACACTACTCGAGGTGCATGCGTCCTTCTGCGGGACTCATTTATCCATCAGAGTAACGATGACAGCGCAGTATGCTCTCGTCTCTCCGCACCTCGCCATCAGCTCGTGAGAGTTTGAGTTATGAGTTCATCAAATCAGCAAGACTGAGGCTGACAGAAACCCTTCATGCCATTGCAAAGCAAAGAGCGATAAGATTACAGTAAACTGAGACCGTCAGATCTCCAAGTATCTCACAGCTACGCTCAAGTGAGTGTGAGCATGTGAATTCAGGCTCTTTCGCATGATTAGAACCGCAAACACTGGACAATTTGCATCCTAACACTGGAGTTAAAGAGACAGTTCATCCAAAACAGAAAGTTTGTGAACGCTGAAGAAGATATGTGACCCTGGAGCACAAAAGCAGTCTTAAGTCGCTGGGGGATATTTGTAGCAATAGTCAAAAATACATTGTTTGGGTTAAAATTATCCATTTTTCTTTTATGCCAAAAATCATTAGGATATTAAGTAAAGACCATGTTAAAATTTTGTACATTTACTACCGTAAATATATCAAAACTTAATTTTTGTTTAGTAATATGCATTGCTAAGAACTTAATTTGAACATCTTTAAAGATGATTTTCTCAATATTTAGATTTTGTTGCACCCTCAGATTCCAGATTTTCAAATAGTTGCATCTCAGCCAAATGTTGTGCTATTCTAACAAACCATACATCAATGGAAATCTTCAGCTTTCAGATGATGCATAAATCTCAATTTCATAAAAATGGACCCTTATGACTGGTTTTGTGGTCGAGGGTCACATATTTTGATGAATGTTGTGTTCAATCCCCATTGGAACCCACTAATATATACTGTCTATATACACTGTATAAATTTCGCAAAATATCTTTTCACAACAGAAAGAAAATCGTACCAGTTTGGAAAGACACGGGGGTGAAGTTCCACCTGAGATTTTAAATTATTTTTTTTATAATTTACCAACACATTTGCATGTTCATGGTAGTCTGATGTTGAATGTAGCATCCTATGACCCCTTTAATGCAAAGAGAAGCGTCTGAGATACAGAGCTAGCGGGTTTCTCCAATCGTCTGCGTGCGTTTGTGGACCCTGTAGGTCACGGAGTGGAAAAATGACAAGAAAATGGAATTTGATTTTGTTTCCAAAATCGCAGATCTTCCAGTAACAAGCTGATTTTTCCAATGCAAAAAAAATACAAATACTCCATCACAGTTTTGTATAGTATTGTACAGCCGAGTGAACAGGGTTAATAATCAAACACATTAACTTAAACTGCTTTGGGATTCTGAGAAGTCATTAATAGATTAAAAACTCACAGCCACTAACAATAATGTGCAAATGAGTTGTTTTGATTAATCCGAGGGTCTTCCAGCCGGATCAAATGTGTGTGCATGCAGTGTTTTTTCTCTTTAATCTCCTCACAGGAGAGTGTTGAGTCTTGAAGAGCTCTTGAGGTTCAGTCAAAACACAGATGCACTTGAGCGGTTCTGGACGACTTTCAACACTTTACATTGCTTTTCCCACCAATGACCAGAGCTCCTGTAGCAAATGCATATGCTTTCCTCTAATGCACTGTCTGTCTGTTTTTGATCAAACCTTTCAATTCAGAAAAGAAACAACACAAATGTCAGCATTTTCTCAAAGCAATGAGATTACGAGCAGAGCAAACAGAGTCTGCTGCTTTCCTCCTGAGAAAAACACACCCAAATAATCTAGCGTTTCAGAGGACATCTCAACAATATGTCACACTTCTCAAAAATATCTAAGTCTCCTGAGCTATGAAAAAGCAACATTTGTGCAATACAATTGTCCTCCTATAGAAGAAATTACTGAAACTATCAGCCAAAAGCACTTGATATTAAAAAAACAGTCCTAAAGTAAATATAAACGGTGTCCACAAACCATTTAACAAATGATTGAAACTAGCAACAAAAGCACTTGATATTAATAAAAATAATAATTATTATTATTATTATAAAGCCAACATAAACAGTGATCACAAACCTTTTTACGTGTGCAATGTGTTGTATTGCTTAGTGAAACAGAATAAATAATTAGGAAAACATACAGAAGAAATTACAAAAAAATAATTACCGAAATTATCAACCAACAGCATATTACAAAACTGCCCTACGTTGGAAAAAAATTACATTTCAAAGTTGTTAATAAAATAAAGATCATTAGAGTATATTTTACAAGAAAATACTATTTTAGTTTTCTACTTTTAAATTAATGTTTCAGAACGAAAATTGGTTTTAAAACCATTTCAACATAAACAATGTTCATGAACCAACTCACTACTAGTTAAAATATCCCAATATGGAGATGTAAACAATAAGCAAAGTCAAAAACAAAAACAGATGCTTCTTTTTCTTTTAAATAACACACCGATTAATCAATTAATCACATGCAACCAGGAAAATGTGTTTTTTTTAAAAAGTAAATGACTAAATAATATATCTTTCATATGTTTTTTATATATATATATATATATACATACACACACTGCTTCTTTTTCTTTTAAATAACACACCGATTAATCAATTAATCACATGCAACCAGGAAAATGTATTTTTTTTTTAAAAGTAAATGACTAAATAATATATCTTTCATATGTTTTTTATATATATATATATACATACACACACTGCCGCTCAAAAGTGTGGGATCAGTAAGACTTGTAATGTTTTTAAAGAAGTGTCTTCTGCTCATCAAGACTGCATTTATTTGATCAAAAATACAGAAAAAAACAGTAATCTTGCAAAATGTTATTACAATATAGAATAATGGTTTCTATTTTAATATCCTTTAAAATATAATTTATTTCTGTGATGCAAAGCTGAATTTCCATCAGCATCATTACTCCAGTATAAAGTGTCACATGATCTTCAGAAATCATTCTAATATGCTGATTTATTATTAGCATTATCAACAGATGTGCTGCCAAATATTTTTCTGGAAACTGCGATTCTTTTTTCAGGATTCTTTGATGAATAAAAAGTTAAAAAGAACAGCATTTATTCAAAATATAAATCTTTTCTAACAATATAAATCTTTGCCGTCACTTCTTAACAATTTAACACGTCCTCGCTGAATAAAAGTTTTAATTTCTTTCAAAAGAAGAAAGAATAAAAATGTACCGACTCCAAACTTTTTAAAAAGGAAGTGTATATTTTTAGAAAAGATTTCTATTTTAAATAAATGCTCTTCTTTTGAACTTTTTATTCATCAAAGAATCCTGAAAAAAGTATCGCAGCTTCCAAAAAAAATATGAAGCAGCAACAGTTTCAACATTGATAATAAATCAGCATATTATACTGATTTCTGAAGATCGTGTGACACTGAAGACTGCAGTAATGATGCTGAAAATTCATATTGCATATTGTACATCAAATGTATATTAAAATAGAAAAACATTATTTTACATCATAATAATATTTCACAATATTACATTTTTTCCTGTATTTTTGATCAAATAAATGCAGCCTAGATGAGCAGAAGAAACTCGTTCTGATCCCAAACTTTGAACGGTAGTGTGTACATACGTGTACACACGTTTCATTAGTCTTTTCTTTGCATTCCTAAACCTTGTTGAGTTTCTTCTAGGCTGCGTAAGCTGTCGATCCACAACCCTGACCCTGATCCGCAGGCCTTTGACTGCTGGAGCCACTGGAGCGCAGACGAGATCAAAGGGTCACGTCCCGAGAGAATCTAATTATAACTGACACTTCCTGTCTTACAGCAAAGCCCTTCAGCTGCGTCTCCTTCCGCTCCGGACCCCTCAATGAGCCGTCGCCCCGGGTTACGTCTGCCGAGGGGCCAAGAACGCCAGCGACTAAATGACTGTCCGGCTCCCAGAGAGAAAGCAGACAGACTCAGACCAGAGCGGGACAGGAAGAGCTGCTCTCAAAGGGGAAGTGCAATTTTGAGCTCTGAGGAGCGTGACCTGTTGAGGATTTGCTCAGAGCTCAATTTAACTTAAAAACCACTGCGCTGACATCTGATATTAGCACACTGACATGCAAAACACCAACGGCCTGCTGGGAAAACCACGTCACAGCAGCTGCATTGACCAGATAATCCAGTTCCCTACCAACCAGCTGACCAAGACCAATTGTTCAATTACCTAAACTAACTAAACTAATGGGATTTTCCATACAGCCGAGTGAGAAATGTTTTAAAACTGACTTTAAATACTGTGAATACAAATCTGGAATGGGAATTTCATTCATATGTACCAGGGATTCCCAAGGTTTTTCTTTTTTGGGTTTTTTTTTGTCAGCCGAACTCCTTAGATGTAGAATATTTACTTGAAGAACCCTCTGTGATTTTAGGTTAACATATTAATAATTTAAAATAAATATTTTGTTGTAATACATATTATAATATACTAAAATATTTTATTTTGTTTTTATTTAAAAATTATTTAAGCATTAATTATTTATTAATGCATTTTTAAGATTTAATTAATTATTAGCCCAACCCAAACCTAAACTCAGTGTTGTTATTGTAAACTAAAACTAAAACCTTTACAAATCAATTTTGGTAATTGAAATATATCTAAATAAAATTAAAACATACATATTAGATAATAAACATAAAATGTTGCCAGTTTAAGTACTAAAATTACTAAAACTACAACTGAAATAAAAAATAATTAACGCTATATATAAAAACTAATAAAAATGACACAAATAATTTACTCAAACTTAAATTAAAAAGGAAATATAAAAATATTTTTTATAATAAAATATTATTAGAATTAAAAAATGTTTTAACAAATACTAAAATAGCATGTAAATAATACTAAAATAACACTGTTTAACCAAACTAATAACCATCTCCAACCAACTATAAACCATGCCAAACCAGATTCCAACTTAAGCTGGATTTTCTTTAATTTCCTGCTATTAAATAACAAACGTTTTCAAACAGACTTGTACTTTCATTAAAAATGTGTAATGGGACTTTAACTGGAATCTCATTCATATAAACGGATCCAGAGTAGATTGAACTGATGGCAGATGTAACTGAGCACCTACTCCAGGAAATCCGTGATGTATTTGCGGCTGCATTTGGACCAGGACCAGGGGCTGGTGTCGTAGTTGAGGGTCGGGGCCATGACGTGGTACTGATGCTTGATTCCCGCCTCGCGGCACTTCGGACTGTCGTCATGAGGCATGTTGAAGCTGAAACACACACAACATACAGTTCAGCAGATGCTTCTCACAAACACTTCAGGACATTTGTTTCTGCACTTCCACATATGAGGATATGAGAAATATGAAAGTACTGCAATTGTATCATGGTAAAATTATGATCATAGCATGGTAACTGGATAAATAGCATCATTACCATATTCAAAAGCTATTAATTATTTTAAGATACCTCAAAGAATGGCACATAGTAGGACCACGGTATTGTGTATGGAAGCTTATTTCCTCCGCGGAACAAAAAAATTAAGAAAGCAATTCTGACTTTTTTTACTTGCAAGTCTGAGAAAAGTCTGAATTGTGGGGGAAGAAAGTTGAATAACTTTTTTTATTATTATATGTAGATGATTATATGTATTATACTGAGATGTAAACTCAGAATTCCGAGAAAACTCAAAATTGCGAGACGTAAGCTCAGAATTCCAAGAAAATAAAAAATATCTAAATTGCGAGACGTAAACTTAGAATTCCAAGAAAAAAATAAAAATTGCGAGATGTAAACTTAGAATTCCAAGAAAAAAATAAAAATTGCGAGATGTAAATTCAGAATTTTGAGGGGAAAAAAATCAGAATTGCGAGATGTAAACTCAGAATTCCGAGAAAAAAACTCAAAATTATGAGATGTAAACTAAGAATTCTGAGAAAACTCAAAATTGCGAGACGTAAACTCAGATTTCTGAAAAAAGCTCAGAATTCCAAGAAAATAAAAAATATCTAAATTGCGAGACGTAAACTTAGAATTCCAAGAAAAAAGTAAAAATTGCGAGATGTAAATTCAGAATTTTGAGGAGAAAAAAATCAGAATTGCGAGATGTAAACTCAGAATTCCGAGAAAAAAACTCAAAACTATGAGATGTAAACTAAGAATTCTGAGAAAACTCAAAATTGCGAGACGTAAACTCAGATTTCTGAAAACAGTTAAAATTCAGCTGTAAACTCAGAATTCCAAAAAAAAAAAGAATTTAAAATTACGAGACGTAAACTCAGAATTCCAGGAAAACAACTCAAAATTGCGAGATGTACATTCAGAATTCCGAGAAAAAAGTCAGAACTATGAGATGTTAACTCAGAATTCAGAAAAAAATTGAGATGTAAACTCAGAATAAAAAAAAAAAAAGAATTTAAAATTACGAGACGTAAACTCAGAATTCCAGGAAAACAACTCAAAATTGCGAGATGTACATTCAGAATTCCGAGAAAAAAGTCAGAACTATGAGATGTTAACTCAGAATTCAGAAAAAAATTGAGATGTAAACTCAGAATAAAAAAAAAAAAAGACTTTAAAATTACGAGATGTAAACTCAGAATTCCAAGAAAAAAATAAAAAAATTATGAGATGTGAATTCATAATTCCGAGAAAATAAAAATATCTAAATTGCACGATGTAAACTTAGAATTCCGAGAAAAAAGTAAAAATTGCGAGATGTAAATTCAGGATTCTGAGAAAAAACTCAAAATCATGCAATGAAAATTCAGATTTCCGAGAAAAGAAAAAACGTTGTAATTTTGTAATTACGAAATTACTAAATTTTTCCTTTGAATTGTGTTATATATTGTGTATAAAAAGTCCAAAAGTCACTATTACATTTTTTATATTTTTTACCATAATTTTGTGTCAATGCTGTAATATGTGCGACTGTCAACAGGACATGAAACCTCTTTTTATTACAGACAGGAAGAGTCCAGCAATAAAATCTTAAAATAAAAGCTGCATTGAGGCGAATCTGATGTCAGAGTCCAGAAACAGCTGTGAAATCAGACACACGACAGCTACAGCACGACGAGAACGCAGCTGTGTTGATGCACATCCTTCAGACGCCATCTGTGAGGCTTCCTCCGCACGTTAAAACACATTTCACATGTTACATTCGTGAAATACTTTTGCTGTCCGAATCGGTTTCAGTTCATGAACATCTGTGCCGCTCATGTAAAGAGCTTGAGCAAAAAATGAATCTTCTCTCATCATTTATTCACACTTAAATCATTCAAACCCCATTTCTTCAGTGGGCAATATTCACACTGCTTTTATTACACTTTTATAGAAATGTTTTGGCATTTTTTAGACAAGGTCCATATCCAGTTTTGTTGCATGGAAAGAGCAGGTTTGGAACAACATGATGACAAAAGATTCATTTTTAGATGAACTATTTCTTAGAAAAGTCTTGTCTTGCTCTATGGAGTCAAACAGCTTGTCAATGTCGAGTTTTGGACAGAGAAAGTGAGATGCCAGATCTTCTGCATTGCATCAAAATAAAAGGATTTTCGGATATGAAACAAATGAAAGATGAAATGTTACAGCCTACTGGAGTCATGTATCAGCGTTAAAGACTTGTGAATCGTTCTTAATGGATCTGAATAACCTCTGACTGATTTAAACACTGACAAAATGATGCTCTTCCTCAGTATTTTTGTCTTGATTTCCAATACAAATATCTAAATACTCTTAAATCAAGACACATTGTTACTTGTAAGTTACTTGAGATATTAAGTCTTGTTTTCTGAAAAATATATCAAAATGAAGTGAGTTTATGCTAGAACTAGAAGAAAAAAATGGTGCCAGAAAAATTAAATTAATTCAAAGGGAAAACAAGCTTATTTTTCTGACCCCATTGGCAGATATTTGTTCTTGTTTTAAGCAACAACTCACTTAATTTTGATGCATTTTTCAGAAAATAATCTATATCTTCTAATTTTGCTACTCAAGTAAATGTATCTTTATTTATGAATGTTTACATATTTGTGCTGGAAAACAAGACAAAAATACTTCAAAAAATGTTCATTCTTAGTATTTTTGTCTTGCTTTAATGTCTAAAATCAACATGAATTTACTTAAGAAACAAAATTACTTATAATATTAAACCTTTTTTTCCTGAAAAAAAATGCATCAAAATTTAAAACAAGAACATCTGCCAATGGGCTCAGAAAACAACTTTAACTTAATTTAAAGTGTATGTTTCTTTGAATAATTTTGCTTCTAAAGTAAATATATTTTCGTTTAAAAAAAAAAAGATATTTTACTAAAAAGCAAGACAAAATACTGAGTACACTGTGAAATAATTTTCTTACTGAGCCTTGTTTTTTAGTTTTCCAGTCCAAATATCTAAACATACTTAAATTAAGATTCATATTAAGATTAATTTATCTGAGAAGTAAAATGACATAAAATGAAAAACAAAAATGCATCAAAACTAAGTTAAGACTTTGGGGTCAGAAAAATAAACTTAATCCAAAGAGAAAACAAGTTTATTTTTCTGATACCATTTTTCTTAAAGCATGACCTTATGATCATTTGTCTTAATCATTTATCTTTATACTTAAATTAAGATTCATATTAAGATTAATTTATCTGAGAAGTAAAATGACATAAAATGAAAAACAAAAATGCATCAAAACTAAGTTAAGACTTTGGGGTCAGAAAAATAAACTTAATCCAAAGAGAACCAAGTTTTCTATTTTTCTGATACCATTTTTCTTAAAGCATGACCTTATGATCATTTGTCTTAATCATTTATCTTTTTATGTAATTTTGATTCCCAAGTAAATGCATTTTGATTTAACAATGTTTAGATACACTACCAGTCAAAAGTTTTTTATGTTTTTTAAAGAAGTCTTCTGCTCACCAAGCCTGCATTTATTTGATCAGAAATACAGCGAACGCAGTAAAATTGCGAAATATTTTTATTATTTAAAATAACTCTTTTCTATGTGAATATCTGTTAAACTCTAATGTATTTCTGTGATCAAAGCTGAATTTTCAGCATCATTACTCCAGTCTTTCAGCCTTGATAAAGACTTTTATAATGCTACAAATTATTTTTATTTCAGATAAATGCTGTTCTTCTGAACGTTCTATTCATCAAAGAAACCTGACAAAATATACTCAGCTGTTTTTAACATCATAATAATAATAAAAATGTTTTCTTGAGCAGCAGATCAGCATATTATACTGATTTCTGAAGATCATGTGACACTGAAGACTGGAGGAATGATGCTGAAAATACAGCTGCGCATCACAGAAATACATTACATATTAAAATATATTCAAATACAAAGCAGTTATTTTAAATAGTAAAAATATTTCACAATATTACTGCTTTTGCTGTATTTCTGATCAAATAAATGCAGGCTTGGTGAACAGAAGAGACTTCTTTAAAAAACATTACAAATCTTACTGTTTAAAAGCTTTTGACTGGTAGTGTATATACCAACAACAACAACAAAAAAAGCATAAACTCACTTAATTCTATTTGAATTCTATCTGATGTTATTTTGCATTTAACACATCTTGATTTATGACACTTGATGTTTGTCCTGGAAAACGAGACAAAGACACTGAGAAAGAACATTATCTGGAGGACAGACTGTAAATGTAACTTTATTTTGCTGTGATTAGGCTTTGCTTTCGGAAATCTGAATCTGAGCGGCGGTTTGTCCTCGTCGTCCCACTGCGGCGCAGAAATTCCCTCCGGATGAGAGGCGGCCGAATATCTGTCATTCTTTCACACTGCACTCATTTACACGACTCGAAGCGCAGCTCCTACACGTAACCTCACTAACACGGCTCTCTGTTATTAAAGGATAAGTCCACTTCCAGAATACACACTTCCTGACGATTTACTCACCCCCATGTCATTCCAGGACTTTTCTACATATAATGGACTTCAGTGGTCGAAATGTAGTTTCAATGCAGCTTCAAAAGAACTCTACACGATCCCAACCAAAGAATAAAGATCTTACCTAGCCAAAGGATCATTTTCTGAAAAAAAATCATATTTATACATGTTTTAACCACAAATGCTTAGCTTGCTCTAGCTCTGAGATGCAAAGAAAGTCACATGCCCTTTACAAAAAAGGTAAAACAACGATGTCTGATGATTTTAAAGTTGGAGGAGAGTTTTTTAAGACAGAGAACTAATCGCACGTGACCTTTCCAACAGGATTACGCAATGTGTGAAGACAGAGTTAGAGCAAGCTGAGCATTTGTGGTTGAAAAGCGGATAAATATTATACAGATATATACAGATCGTTTGGCTAGATAAGATCATTATTCTTTGGCTGGGATTGTGTAGAGTCCTTTGAAGCTGCATCGAAACTGCATTTTTAACCTTCAACCCGTTGATCCCCATTGAAGTCCACTATGTGGAGAAAAATCCTGCAATGTTTTCCTCAAAAAACTTAAGGTCCTTGCACTCCGAGTTCGACATTTTCGTATGCGTTTTACTGTTTTTTTTCCCGTATATGTCATCCTTTCCTATCAAAATGCATGCTACGGATTCGAACACGCAGAAAATCGAACCTGGTCCGAATTTTTTTATGAAGGACGAAAGTTTCGGAGGCAGTGTGCAAAGTCCTTTAATTTCTTTGCGACTGAAGAAAGACAGACATGAACATCTTGGATGGCATGGGGGGGAGTAAATTATCAGGAAATTTCGATTCTGGAAGTGGACTTATCCTTTAAAGCGCCGGGGCTTTATTGCGTTTTGAGGGTCTTTGGGGCGACTTACACGTGTCCGAGCTCGTGAGCGATGGTGAAGGATGCACTCAGGCCGTTCTCCTCGCTGATGGAGCAGCTTCGGTACGGGTCGCACATCGTCCCCAGCTCCGCCAGACCTTCATTAAGAGAGAGCAGACATGTTCAGTCTCTGAGGTCCAAGTGCGAGTCAAGTCTCAAGTCTTTAAAGTGGAGTCCAACTCCCGTCTCCAGTCTTTGTTCTGTTTTTAGCAACAGTTCTTTCAGCTAGTTACTGAGGCTCAATCAGTTTTGAAATACTGATTTCAGGATACGATTGTCCTTTATTATTTCTCAGACAAAATGCTGCACATTTCTTTGAAAAAATTTAAGTATGTCGACTAACAAAACTAAATTGAAATTTTCCCCAATCAATCAAATGTGACCCCGGATCACAAAACCAGTCATAAGGGTCAATTTTTCTGAAATTGAGATTTATGCATCATCTGAAAGCTGAATACATAAGCTTGTGTGTGTATGGTTTGTTAGGATCGGACAATATTTGGTCGAGATACAACTATTTGAAAATCTGGAATCTGAGGGTGCAACAAAATCTAAATATTGAGAAAATCATCTTTAGAGTTGTTCAAATAAAGTCTTTAGCGATGCATATTACTAATCAAACATTAAGTTTTGATATATTTATGGTAGGAAATTTACAAAATATCTTCATGGAACATGATCTTTACTTAATATCCTAATGATTTTTGGCATGAAAGAGAAATGTATAATTGTGACCCATACAATGTATTGTTGGCTATTGCTACAAATATCCCCCAGCGACTTAACACTGCTTTTGTGCTGCAGGCTCACATATTATATTTGTACTCTTGAACAAATGAATAACACAAATAAAATAAATCTCATATAAACAAACTAAGGTTTTGTCTGTGCTCTTTTCATTTAAAATTAGAGGCAAACACAGTATTTTAAACACAATCCAAACAAAGATGCAGCATGAGCAGCTTTTAATCTGAACTGGATTGTATAATTTGAACATTTGAAGCAATTACAGAATGGTCTGACTTTAGTTTTGTGAAACTATAGGCTACTGCATAAAATATCTGCACGAACCAAAACAGCAGACAGGCTGGATGAGAATGCAGATTCACTCTCTGCCAGCAGGTGGCGCTTATGGAACAGCAGCGATAAAGCGTTTTATTGTTTGCCGCTGTAAACAAAGCAGCGCTGCGGTTATGAACACTACTTTAATAGCTATGCATTATACAGAGGCAAGATGAAAAGAAAACACCATCTAAACTTTTCTAAAACCAGTAAGTTTGAGTTTTTTACGAGTGTCTTGAGTCACGAGTCCAAGTCAAGTCGCAAGCCTCTATTTATGCCACTTAAGTGCGACTCGAGTCCAAGTCGCAGACTCGAGTTTCCATCTCTGAGAGAGAGCATGACTTTATTATCCAGTGCTTTTGGTGGTTTTTGGGCCCTAAACACCTGCTGGGGCCCGGCACAGGTGGCTGGTCCTATACGACACGCTGATGACAGTTAAATGAAGCACAGCTGACAGACTTTCTGCAGGATCTGGTTCTGCTTCAGGAACCTGCTGTCAGTCCATTCAGTGACCCCACACAAGTCAAAATAATGAGCCACAAAAAAATAACTATTTTTTAAATAGTTGATTATACAGCAGCATATTCAAAAACAGGTATGTTGCATTTTCAAACTAGTTTTGGAAAAAAAATATTAAGAAGAAGCAGAAGAAAAAAAACACTAAATTAGTATTTTAAAAACAAAACATGAATCAAATGTATTACTTAATTTAACTCGTATGCAGCAATAAGCATTATTGTAACATGACCTACAAGACTGCATGCACTGATGTTTTATTCAGCAAGAAAAATAAATAGTTATTTTGTCATTTTAAATCAAACCTCTGGCAATTTGATCAAATAATGAGTCAAAAGGGAGAAAAAAAATATTATTAAAATGACTGATTCATTTAGAAAGATATTTCACATTTCCAACTTTTTTGTAATAATAATAATAAAATAAACATTTGACAGTCTGATTAAATATGAAAAAAATTATGATTAAAATGACTGATTAAAAAAGGTCAAATAAGTAGATATTTCACATGTATTATATATATATATATATATACAGTATATATAATATTTTGGCAGTGTAATCAAATAATGAGTCAAAAAGGAGAAAAATATGTAAAATATTGATTAATTTAGAAAGAACAAATATTTAAATAATAAGATATTTCACATTTACAATTTTTTGTGAAAAATATTAATAATAATAATAATAATAATAATAATAATAATACATTAAAAATAAATCATACATTGGGAGTTAAATTTACTTTGTTCAAATAAAAAGTAAAAAAATTTATTATTTAAAAATTGAATATGAAACTGTATGCAGCAACAAGCACTGCTGTACATGACCACACTAATGTTTAATTCAGCAAAAAAATAAAAGTTGCATTTTTTAAACCAACCTGAGTATGCTGCAGTGTGGGATGCAGAGCATGTGAGCGGTGTGACGCTCCGCTACGGTTTCCGCTCTATGGACGTGTGCTCCGATCAGTCGCTCTAACCGCCCGAGCAAGCGCTCCGTTAATATTCCGCTCGCGCTCACAATAATAAGATATTTCACATTTACAATTTTTTGTGAAAAATATTAATAATAATAATAATAATAATAATAATAATAATAATAATAATACATTAAAAATAAATCATACATTGGGAGTTAAATGTACTTTGTTCAAATAAAAAAATTAATTATTTAAAAATTGAATATGAAACTGTATACAGCAACAAGCACTGCTGTACATGACCACACTAATGTTTAATTCAGCAAAAAATAAATAAAAGTTGCATTTTTTAAACCAACCTGAGTACGCTGCAGTGTGGGATGTGGCTTCTCATCCAGCTGCATGCAGCACATTTGAATACCGCACACATACTGCAGAAATAACAGATCAGGACAGTAGTGTGAAATCTTACCTAACGTGTCACACTTGTCCTTTGCTCGGCAGATGTCCTCCCTGAGAAACAAACACACATCCCATAATAGTGTTTATGCTGAAAGCTCAAGCTCAAACAGAAGCACACTGTAGCAGGCAGAGGTCATGAGGTCAAAGGTCAAGCTCAGGTCACCTGGTGATGAGCAGCGCCGTGTCGTGATGACCCGGGTGACTGTCGTCCAAAACGTTGTGACTCTGCTGCCACATGCAGAAGTTATGAAGCGTCGCAGTGGCGTAGAAGTTTATATTCGGCCCTTCCTGAGGAAAACACACACTTTATTATCCAAACCCAGTTATTACAGAGGAATAACTCACGGCATGTCTCACGGCACGTCATGCATTATTTCACTGTTTCAAGTTTCTCCTGAATTTCCGTAAGAATGAGTTGCTAGTCGTAATGTGTTTAAAGTTTAGAATTGAATGTGGAGGAGCTCAGAGTGTTTGATGAGAAAGGACTGAGATCTTCTCAATATCCCATCATATTAAAATATCAGGTTTTATTTCATTATGCATGAGGAAAACTGCTATTTTGCTGTTCAGACGATTTTTTATTATGCATTTTTGGCAGTTTGATGAGAGTCAAAAAGGAGAAAACAAACCATGTTTAAATGACAAAATTTAAGATATAAAGAAAAAATACATAAACGGATATTTTGCTTTTTCAAACTATTTTTTTTAACTTTTTTGGTGGTTTGAGGAGAAGTCAAAATAGTCAAAAAGGAGAAAAAATATTTTTTAAAACCTGAATATTGAATATTGTGTGTCAATTGAGTTATTTTAGAAAATATCTGAAATAAAATAAAGGGTTTTTTTTTCATTCTTTTTTTATTTCAGTTAACATTTATTCCGAGTACTTAAAATATATGTATATCTTTCATGGTTTTAGTTTTAGTTAACTATAATAACTCTGATATTGAGTCAATGAAAAATAAAGAAAAAATATTTTTCTTAAATTGAATGCGAAACAGAATGCAGTGCAACAAGCACATGATAAGTTGTTTAATTATTTAAAGGTGTTTAATTCAAATAAATAGTTAATTTGCACTTTCAAAACTAGGATTATGTAAAAATGTCTCATCAAAAAAAAAAAAAAAGTTACAAATGAAAATTGCATCTTTTATTTAAATTCATTAAATGCATTCATAAATTTAGATTTGAATGTGAAACACTATGCAGCAATCAGCATTACCAACACAAACAAAAGAAAAGAATATAATAATAACAACAATGACAGCAATAATAGCCATATACTGTAAAACAGTTGCACTGTAAAATAAAAGAAAATTAATATTTCATAGCTATATTATTTTAGTTTTACACTACAGTACATGACAATACTTCTTTCCTAATTTCTACACTTGAAGAGATATTGTGAATTTGGACTGCATTTAAACCCCAAAACACAACTCTGAAGACCTCTTACGTTAGAATAAGACGTTTAAATATATTTTTAAAACTACACTTTTTGCTCGGAAGACCTATCGTTTCATATCGTCACGTGATCACGATAATATCGCTTCGCTATGGCGATGTGGATAATACAGTTACATCCCCAGACGTCCCTGCGTCTGCTGTACCTGTTCGTTGTGTATGACGATGAGTTTGACGATCACGATGTTGATGAGGTTTCCTACACTGGGGTCTCTGTAGATCGCAGCGACCTGAAAGCACAGACGACACAGGACACAGTTCAGTCCAAAATACCCACAAGCCACTGCGCTGGCAAATATACTGAGAGACCAGTCATGCTTGAGGGTTCACCCTGCTCTGGATCTCCTAAACCAGTTTAAAACCAGAAGGGAAAACCTCAGACAGACGGCTGCATTTACAGACAGACACACTAACGCAGTCTTCTGATTGGCTGAGAGAACCACACCGCTATGACATCATTAGCACACCAAAACCCAATCGGATCACACGATCAGACCCGGACTGACCAGGGTTCTTATCGTTAACTACAACTAACACTAAAACCCATTACAGTTTGTTTTTTAGTTTTGTTACTTGAAATAAATGCTAAAAAATATTTGATTTCAGCTAGTATTTCTAATTATTGTTTCGTTTAACTTGAAGTACTAAAATAACTAATAAAATTGAAATAAAAATGATTTTTTTTTTGTAAAAATGACTGGCAGTCAGATCAAATAATGAGTCAAAACGTAGAAAATAATTATTTAAAAAAAAAAGTTGTCACATGATCTACATGACTAGATTTTTAACTAGGCAAAATAAAATTAAATAAAAAAATAAAACAAAATAAAATAAAATAAAATAATATAAAAACTATATAAACATATTTAAATGTAAAACAATTAAATACAATTAAATAAAATTAAATAAAATTAAATTAAATTACATATAACATATAACATAACATCAAATAAAATTAAATAAAATTAAATTACATATAACATAACATCGTGTGTGTGAGTGAGTGAGTGAGTGAGTGAGTGAGTGAGTGAGTGAGTGAGTGAGTGAGTGAGTGTGTGTGTGTGATTAACACACACTTTCATTTTCATATGTAAAATATAAACAATTATATTTCAGTTTCATTATATTATAAATATTACAATATATGCATTAATAATAATAATAACAGAGGAGAGAGAAAGAGCTCAGCAGGCGTCTGGAGTCACTTCCTGTGATATCACACCTACACAGTCCACTTCCTCTCAATCAATCAATTAATCAATCAGCTGAAGATAATGGAGTCCAGAAGCGCATTCAAACACAAACTAAAACTAAAACCATAAAGAAAAAACATTTGCATTACATGAAATAAAATCAACTTTACATTTAATCAGCTATTAGCCAAGGCAACATTCCTTATATACCTCAACATTACTTTCATTTACTTTAGCTTTACCTACTACAATAAAAAAAACGAATATAAACTAATATAAGAATTATAATAAATTATTACAAATTATAATAATAAAAACTATATACACACTTAGACAAAATGTCCTCCTCCTCCTCATCATCCTCATCATCCTCATCATCATCATCCTCCTCCTCCTCTCATCCTCCTCTCATCATCCTCCTGCTCATCATCATCATCATCATCCTCCTCCTCCTCCTCCTCATCATCATCCTCATCATCATCCTCCTCCTCTCATCCTCCTCCTCCTCCTTCTCCTCCTCATCATCATCATCATCCTCCTCCTCTCATCTTCCTCCTCCTCCTCCTCCTCATCATCATCATCATCATCCTCCTCCTCCTCCTCCTCATCATCATC